ATATTTTTGTTTTTAAGGTATGCTCGTTGTGAACGTTATTCAAAAGGTGTATTAAATTGTAATGAAGCTATTCGTTTAAATCCAAATCTTGTTCGTGCTTATCTTTATCGTGGTTGTTTAAAATATTCACTTCGTCTTTATGATCATGCTATAAAAGATTTATCAATAGCATTACAAATTGATCCATCATGTTCACATGCATATTATAATCGTGCATTATGTTATGTACGTCGAGGAAATCTTTCTTATGCATTAAAAGATTTTGCTATTGTTTTATGTCTTGTATCAACAATAAAAAATAGTAAAACTCAATTACTTGAACTTGAAACATATGTTAATCGTGGTTTATTACAATATGAACATAAAGATTTTGAAAATGCATTAATTGATTTTGAATATGCATTACAATTAATATTAATATCTAATGATGAAAAACGAATTCAAACACTTAAACATAAATTAATATATACTATTGGACAATGTTATCATCGTTTAGCACAATTTAATAAAGCTATTGAACAATTTACATCATCAGAAATAATTGAACAATCTAAAATTGATATGAATTATCGACATGATTTATGGTTAGCTCAAGCTAATGTTTATATGGATATAGGTAATGATAAATCAAAATTAAAAGCAACAAAATTATATGAATTTATACTTCATGAAAATCCATTACATGAAAATGCAAGACTTAATCTTGGTTATTGTTTTCGACAACGTGGTTATTATCAACGAGCATGGATACAATTTTCAGCTATTCTTCATTTTAATCCATCACATATACGTGCACTTGAAGCACGTGCTATTGTTTGTTTACAAATGAATCATCCAACAGAAGCATTTATTGATCTTAATCAAGCATTACGTTTTCAACCATCATCAGCTCAATTACTTACAAATCGTGGTGTTATTCAACAATATTTAGGTGATAATAGAAATGCTATGTGTGATTATCGTGCAGCTATGCTTGCTGATCCAAATAATGCATTTGCACATTATAATGCTGGAAATATACTTATGTTTCATGGACAATTTCCACAAGCTATTAATTTATTTGATAGAGTTTTAGAAATAAATCCACGAGATGAAGCAGCATTAACAAATCGTGCTATTGCTAAAGTTGTTTTAAAACAATATGATAGTGCACGTAAAGATCTTGAACATGCTTTACAAATATCACCATTAAGTGCACATATTCATGTTGATCTTGGACAATTATTATTAACTATGAATGAACCATATGAAGCAGAAAAACATTTTTCAAGAGCTTTAAAAATTCGTCCATGTGATCCAGTTGTGTATAAATGGCGAGGTGATGCACGATCAAAACAAGATGATAAACGACAAGAAGCTTTGGATGATTATCGTATTTGTGTGGAACTTAATGATGCATTACAATTAGCACGAAAACATGGACTTATTAAAGCACCGACTAAAACTCGACGAAGATTGTGATTTACTTACTGTTTCGTTTTTTCCTTTTTGAAGATTAATTATTTTTTTTCCCTAAAATATCCTTATTTGAAAGATTTTCTTAATAAATCTTGATTGTAAAATTGAAGATCGAAAGAAATGAAT